GGGCCATAGCATTTCGGGGTAAATATTCAGAAAATCTTCCAATTCACAAAACTCCGCGGAAAGCTCCCGGCGCGCGGAAATCTCAGGAAAATCTCCGGCAAATGCCCAGCGTGCAGAAATATTGACAAATATATGGCAAGCAAATCGCAGGAAAATCTCAAACGTGTTTTTTTCCAGAACATCCGGAACATCACCTAACAATTTCTGGCGCTCAGAAATGTCTGGAACATATTGTGAAAATATCCGGCAAATCTCTGGAAGATCTCCAGCGGACATTTCGTTGTAGGTTTGCTAGGTGCGAAGATGTTTTGGATATTCGCCAAATGTTGTTTTCATCGCGATTAGTATATGGAGACTAGCCGAAAGGGTTTTTCAAGGCGGGAAGATGGTTTTCGGATTGGAGATTCGCGGGAAGTCGCGGGAGGCTTTTTGGAATATGTCAGTCGGTTCGGCACCATTGCACTTACGGCGGGCGCGACCGCGTGTGAGGCGGCCTGTTTGCTTGGCCCTACCAACTTTCTGGGGGGACCGTGCCACGCATGCTAAAACAGGGGCGCGGGCTGCAGGGAGCCCCCCGCCACAGCGGCCCGGTCGCCGCTGGCTGCGGAGGTTTGCTGCGGCGCTTGCGCCAGAGACAGGGGCGAAGGCTGCAGCGGGTGCGGCCGCACGGGCCCCCTCTACCATTCATGGTGGCGCCGCGGCGGGGTGGCTCTCGGCAGCGATTGCGCTGCGACTGCTGTTGGGGGCAGCTGCGGCGGTTGTGATTGCGTGGCGCCCAGCGGTGTAGACGTCGACTGGGGCGTGAGCGGCCGCGCGGCCTCCAGGCTCGGTGTGACGGGCGCCGCCGAGGGGGCCGTCAGCGCCGTGGCTGCATTGAACGCCGGAGCCCCGGCATGCGGGTGGGCAGTCGGTGGTCCGCTATATGGCCGCCCCGCTGTGGAGAACATCCAGGGCAGCAGCCGCGGCGAGCCCGCACCAGCGGCGGCGGTTGCACCCCACCTCCCGCGGGGGACGGCTACCACAGCGGGGGCAGGTCGGCCCCCGAAGTGCAAGACCCTTGTTTCCATGCGCTGCCAGCTTCGAAGCGCCTTGGGGCTGCGGCTGCGCAGTCGGCAGTTTGCCCGCCGTCCCGCTCTGGGGCAACCGGGCGGCAGATGCAGCGACCCTCGCGTTCAGGAGGGGCCGGGCCAGCGGCGGTTGCACCAGGCTTCCTGCGAGGGGCAGCTGCCACGGCAGGGGCAATGGGGCGCCCGGCAGGGCTGCCCCATCCCAGGCGTTGACGGCTGCGTAGCGCCTAGGGCTGCGTCCCGATGCGGAGGGCGGCACAGGCGGAAGCCGCAGCGAGCTCCGCGTGTTGGAGGGGCTGGGCCGATGGTGCCCAGACGCCATCCGTCGTCGGCGGTGGGGGCCAGGCGGAGGCCCCGGCGGTGCGCCAAGCGGGCCGCCGCGCCCGCAGACCTCTTTACGGCCGTGAAGGTGCTGCGCACCCCTTGGTCGCAGGCGCGGCCTTCGGGCGCCGAGGGGCGCGTGGGTGCGGCGGGCGGGCCGTCACGCCCGCCGACATCCCCTGTGAGGTGGGTGCTGCGGTCCCCGCGGGCTCGGCCAGCCTGGCGGTCTATGGGGCGCGAGGCGGACCGCTTGCGCTGCCCAGCCCGGTCCCGGTCTCGAGACCGTGCCCCAGGTGACGAGTAATACTTCTTGGGCTGCTTATCCCGTCGTGCTGGCCGCGGGAGCAGGAGCGGCTCACTATCGTCGCTGCACCTAGCAGGGGGTGCGGTCTCCAAGGAGTGCAAGCCAGAAGCTGAGCGCTCAGAATCTCTGGACATGCTAATCGCCTTGAGCCTGAGCCAGTCATGGGGTGTCGACGGGGGGCAGGGGGACAGGGTGCACCGCGTCTCGGATCAGGCGAGGGTGAAAAGCAATTCGGCCCGTCATCTCGCCGGGAATGCACGCAGCGGAGATCTCCGACGCGCAGCGAGGACCTGGATCTTGGCCCGGCCTCCTGTCCGAAGGTATGGGCACTCCACGTCGCTTGTTTGGTGCGAGAGGGTCCTGGGAGGGAGGACGATTCAGTAGGAGGGAAGGAGGGAGGAAGAGGAGTAGGAAAAGGAGGAGAAGCAGGAGGAAAAGGAGTAGGGAGAGGCAAACAGGAGTGGGAGGAGGAGGAGGAGGAGGAGGAGGAGGAGGAGGAGGAGGAGGAGATCCTCCTCGATGTTCCTCCCTCTCCTCCTCCCCTCCCCCCTCCTCTTCCTCGTCCCCCTCCCCGCAGGATGAGGCGTAACCGCGCCACGCCCGCCGGCCTTCGGCCTGAGCCGCGTCTGAGCGGCGGGCCCGGCCAGATGAGATAGGTGGCGATCGCTGTGTTGTGCGCGTGGACGAGTAGGCATATTAGGTGTGGGGCGGCCTCGCACCGGGTATTACTCGGGTCCAGCGGTCGCTCGGACTGACAGCTCGAGCCGTGCTCGGCCTGGGCCCCCAGACGTGCTCGCTCTCGCTGGCGGCGCGCGCGGCTCCGCCACTCTGGGACTCTGGGCGCGCAGCCCCGTGCCGGCGACGTCCGGGGCTCCTCGCCAGCCCGCGCGAGCCCGCACGCCAGCATCGCGGGAGGCGTTCGCGGCCCACGGCTGCTGCCGCTGTGCTGCCCCTCTCGTCCCTCGGCCGGCCGAGGGAGGAAGGATAGGAGAAGCACAGATTGTCGAGGCCCGCGCGGACCTCTTGGAACGGCGTCGGGCCCCCCCTGGCGGCTCCTCCAGCGCCGCCCCCTGGCGCTCGCCGCGCGCAAGGGAGGGGCCCAGCGCCAATCCAAGAAAACCACCCGGACCCCCGAAAGTCTGTGTTCAGGCCGATGTTTCTTCTTTTGGTCGAAGTTCTGCACCACCCACCTAGGAAGAAGAAGGCCGTTCCAGAGCGTGCTGGAAACCTCTGGGACGTCGGCAGCGACCGATGCATCCTCGAGGCTCGCCGGGCCGCAGGGAGTACGAGTCAGTTTTGCCGTGACATTCGTCGTCTTGCCTACTTGGGGTGCAGCGGGCCAGAAGACAAGCAGGCAGAGCCTCCAGATGCCAAGAGCGATCAAGCCCTGCGGGCTTATAGCGAACTTGTTTCTGGCTCGCTCTGCCGCTTCTGCAGGGCGTGTCTGGTAGTCTGTTCGGCCCGCCAGCCCCTCAAAGTGGCGGGGCCACCTCAGTTCTCCCTGCCTGCTGCACGAATATAACCCACAAGAGCGGCAGTCAGGCTGACACAGCGCAGATTTGCTCGTATGCTGCGGGCGCAGCTCGTTTGACCCCGAGAAAATCGAACGTGCGATCCTCCCATGCACTACACGAATATTGTTCCCAAAGGAGCAGAAAGGAGCGGCAAGCAGGCTGACATTGCAGACGTACGTTTAGGACGCAGCTCAAGTGACTTGAAAGAAACATCGAACGCGCGCGCGCGCGCGCCGTGCCCCACAATGGCGAACGTAGCGCTAATCCGAGCGTTGCATCCTCGGCTGCAGCCATGAGTTAGATGGCGCTTGTGGTAGATTCATCATGGCCCCCTATTCTAAAACGGTGGGCACGGGTCTGCATCTAGACAATTCCTCACCGTAGATCCTTCTGACGATTGGAGTGCCTTCAGATGTGCCGCAACTGCTCAGCTTCAGTGGCTTCAGCGGAGGCACCCCTTCAGCTAAATTGATCGACCTTGGTTGCATGTTCATGCCACCAGGGCCATATTTTAAGCATCCAGGATCTGTTGGAGGAACGCATTGAAGCCACATTGGGATGTCCTGGGGCCAAACCAGGCGACAAGCAAACTCACGGGACACTCGCATTATGTTCAATGTGTTGCGAAATTATGGGAGGCTTTGGAAGCCCGAGAGGACGCTGAAGGTTGAGAACACAGGTGTGACATTAAGCGAGTGCTGCGCTTCTGGGCCACGGGGCTTCGTGAGTTCAGCACCTAACGCAGTTTACCCACATACATTTGAATCCAAGACTTGCCTGAATTGCAGTAGACCTCCAGGGTGGCGGACCTCCAGGACACGAACTTACACAAAGTAAGATCCCATGATGGCAAATGTCGCAACACACTTGCATCTGCTCTGGTGTTGCAGAGAATTATGTGCAGCCTATAGATCCACCATGGGTCGGCGGATCTGAACATATGAAAGAACGTCTTCTGAGCATGCTAAGAGGAAGTCAGGGGAGAGGGGGGGTTCGAACAGGTGAAAAAAAAAACAGTTGCTTTCAAGTGCAAACGTGTTCTCGCTCGTACCCCGCACTCGTGTTGCTGAGTCCTGTTGTCTGTTCCCATTTCCTCCAGCAGAGAATACATCCAAGATCAGAGGATAGCAAGTTCTGGGTAGGGTCCCGAATATGTTGAGAGTATCATCGCCTTTGGATGTGATCCCGAGGACATGTTCTTCCTCCCTCCTTCATGTTGCCCCTCGCCGCAGGCTTTCCAGCGACAGCCAACAAAGAAACAGCCGAAATGAGTCGATGTGTAGTCTACACGTCTGGAATAGACTACGGCACATGGCAGTCTACAGCTGTCGCGAACTCCTGGCGATGCGCTTCTCTGACATATTGTCGTCGTCCCTCAGGCACATGCCTCGTGGTTCGCGGCAGCACGTGCGTTGTGTTTTGATTCGCCAAGGACTCTAAGAACATCTCCCGGGGACATTCTAGGGCAATCTGAAAGGCCATTGGCATCGGGACCTCTCAGAAGCGGCTGAAAAGCTCCAAGAGTTTTCTCGGGGCCACCTTGGCAAGTACCCTTCGGGGCCGCCTCGGTCGTCCAGGTCACTCTCATAAGCGCGAAGTTTATTGATTGCGTTTCTCGCGTCGTGGCCCAGGCTTGAGAATGGCCCTTCTCCAAGGCCCAGGCGCGCGGGCGCGAGTATGACCTCGCGTCATGCATAGCAGTGCGCGAGGGCGCGGAGTCAGGTGACCTGGGCCGTCCTCACGCCCACGCAAGTCCAGACACGAGCATCGCTCGCGAATGTGCATGGCCACGACGGCTCAGGGCCGAGCTCTCGGAAGCCCACCGTTCCGGGCGCGCGCGCGCGCGCCCTCGGAGGCGGAGGCGGAGAGGATTCCATGCCGAAGGTGCAAAAATCGCGCACGAAGTATCACGACCGTGCGCCGCCTCTTGATCCAGATGCCGAGGACGTCGCGTGCGCCCCTGCTCCAGGCAGCCTACGTGGGGTCAAAGTATATGGGGCTGGTGCATCGCCGCCGCATCACCGATGTATCGGGGATGTGGCTCGTTGTGGACCCCGATGATCTTCACGCCGACGGCGTCGCTGTATCGCCGATGAATCGCCGATGCAGCGCGATCCTCTGACCCCATCTGCTCGGACCCCGTTCGGGGGGCCTCCACTTGCCGACCCAATACACTGCCAGGGTTGCCAGAGGCCCGCGCACGAATCGTTGATCTCGGGCCCAGGTAGTTTCGAGCCGAGAGCCATGGCACATCTGGCCTCCGAGTTTTTGTTTTCGGCCGTCTCGGAGTCGGGCCCACCGCGTCCTGAATTCGGAGGGACGGTCAGGGTGGATTCAGAAGTGGCTCCCCTGGCGAATCCAGCAAAGATTGTTCTTGTTGCTGATACTTCTTGTCTTCGTCCCCCATGTCTCATCCTCGCTCCTCGTCATCCTTTGACAGAGTAGCATGAACATTTTAGCCAGCGTGGGCCCCAGTCAATGCGTAGTTGTACTGTGGATGTGAAAGCTATGCGCTGGAAGCTATGTGGTGAAAACTATGTCGTCTAAGCTGTGTGTTGCGAGCTGAGGAGGTGAAATCTATCCGGTGTGCGTTATTTCGTATCATCTATGTCGTTCAAATTTGGCGGTGTGAACTGGAGGTGAATCCTTAGGTTGCAAGCTCAGTGATGTAAGCTATGTCGTGTAATAGTGTTGGTGGTAAGCTTTGTGGTGACAGCTATGTCGCGAAAGCTCAGGGCACGGGGCGCCCACGATGCGGCAACGAGGCGGCAACCAGGCGGCACCAACCGGACACAAGCCGAAACACCGACACACCCACCCAGCACGCGAAGCGGCAACGAGGCGGCACCACCCAGGCACCAGCCGAAACCCCGACACCCACCCAGCGCACGAGGCTGCAACGAGGCGGCAGCAACGGGGCACCAGCCGAGACCCAGACACACCCACCCAGCACACGAGGCGGCAACGAGGCGGCACCAATTGGGCACCAGCCGAAAAAACGACACACGTTATCACACACAGCATACGAGGCGCCAACGAGGCGGCACTTAACGGACACCAGCCGAAACACCGACACACCGCGCACGAGGCGGCAATGAGGCGACACCAACCGGGCACCAGCCGAATCCCCGTCACACCCACGTACCGCACGAGGCGGCAACGAGGCGGCACCAACTGGGCAACAGCCGAACCCTGACACACCCATCTACTTCCATAGCATCACAAGTAAGAACCCGAACACCTAAGTGCAAGCATTGTTTGGGGAATACATTTTCGGAGGTCCGCGCAGATTTAAGGGATCGGCGCTGGACCCTCCTCCCTGGCCCGCGAAGCGCCTCCAGGGGCCGCGCCCGAGGCTCCGCCGAGGGGGGGTGCGGGGTCAGCGCCAGTGATTGATGCTGATGCCGATTTTATGTTTCTCTGCCTCCCCTCTTCCCTCAGCTCTCGTTGGTCCCTCCCCCGCAACCTTCTGTTAGGCAGGCCGTGTGCTCCTCGAGCCCGCAGCGTCAGGTCCTCCTCCTTCTCCTCCTCCTCCTCCTCCTCGTCCTCCTCCTCCTCCTCCCTCCCTCCCTCCCTCCCCCCTCGCTCCTCTCAGAGGAAGAGCCCGTGGAGGACGAGGAGGCGGCCCGGGAGGCCGAGGATGGCCCTCCGCCGGTCGTGATGGGGCGCCGGCGCCAGAAGCGCAGGGAGGATTTCATGCGGAAGTTCGAGTTCGTGAATTACGTCCGGCAGCAGGATTGGGTTCCGCCGAGAAGAGGAGGAGGAACTGGAGGAGGACAAGGACGAGGACGAGGACGAGGACGAGGAGGACGGGGAGGACGAGGAGGAGGAGTAGGAGGACAGGAGTAGAGCAGGAGGAAGGTGGGAGGAGGAAGAGTACAGGATGAGAGCAGGAGGAAGAGGACCCCGTCAAGTGTGGGAAGGAGGGGGGGGATCCAAACCGTCAGCGCCTCGAGTAAGTGAGGAGGTCAAGACGACCAGGGGGTCGAGAGCTCTAGGGACCACGCTTCGAAAACAACTAAAGCAATAATCCTTCAGCCTTGTGGCACACCGCGGCACGCAAAGACACAACATCGAAAGTTTGAATGTTACACTTTGGATGTAGTTTTGCCGCTCTAACCTCAGCTTGTGATGTCGCGGCTGAGACGAGAGCGGTTTGGAGAGGTCCAGGGAAGTATGAAGCCCACGGCTCCCTCGACGACGACAAAAAATAATTGTTTGTCGCATTGCGTGTTTTCCCTGCCATCCTGTGGTGTTGCGTTCTTGTTTTGAAGAGAAAGTGCCCGGCGTTCCTCCTTTTTCTCCGCTTCGCCACTCTTCACCATCCTCCCATCCCTGCCTCTGCCCTCCGCACCCAGCACAGCGCTTCGTGGCCCCTCATGGAGCTCCACCGAAGGCGCCAGTGGCTGTGATCACATGCGTCCGTGCCGGAGAATATTACGTTCCATGACCCCACAAGGAGCTCCACCAAAGGCCCCAGCGGCTGCGATCGCATGCGTTCGCGCTCGAGGTACACCGCTTCTTGGCCGTATGGGGAGCTCCACCGAAGGCCCCAACGGTTGCGATCTTATGTCGCATGCGTCCGCGCCACCCAGTACAGCGCTCCGGGGCCCCATAGAGAGCTCCACCGAAGGCCCCACCGGCTTTGATCACATGCGCCCGCGCCACCCAGCACAGCATTTCGTGGCCTGCCCCTTTGGAACCCCACCGAAAGCCCTTAGCGGCGGTGTCTCTATGCGCCCCCATGCCTGTGTTGGTGCACACACGTCTCGAGGCCGCATAAGTAACTCCCACTTCTTCGTCCCACCTGCGTTGCGGTACTCACAATTGCGTATGGCCGGGTATTTCGCTAGGATGCTTTGCTTTTGCGTTGCAACTTCTTCTGCATTGCAAGTTAAGTGGCTATTTTAGCTTCAGCTCCGCGGGTGAAACGAGAAGGGTTTGGAGAGGTCCGGGGAGGTATAGAGCCCACGGCGCCGTCGACGACTAGAAAACAGGGTTTGGTTGCATTGCGTGGTTTTGCAATTGAACTTTGCGTTTCGCGTTGCAGCTTTGCTATTCTAGCTTCAGCGAAGGATCCCGCGAGTGAGGAGAGAGTGGCTGGAGACGTTTACGAAGGTATGAAGCCCACGGCGCCCTCGACGGCGACCAGGGAACAGTGTCTGTTGCATTACAATGTATATTGCAGTGTTTGGGTTGCGTTGCAGCGTTGCTGTTTTAGCTTCATTTCAGGATTCCGCGGCTGAGACGAGAGCGGCTTGGAGAGGTTCAGGGAGGTATGAAGCCCAGAGCGCCCTCTGCAACGACCACAACGCAGCGTGCTGTTGTTGTTGCTGCATTGATGTGGTTCCTTGCAGCTTGCTTGTTCTATATTCATGTTCAGGGATCTGCGAATGAGACGAGAGCGGTCTGGAGAGATTCAGGGCGGTGTGAAGCCCACGACGCCCTCGACTACAACCAGAACACATTGTCAGTTACATTGTGTCGGCCCAAACCTTTAATGTGGTCTCGTTTTGAAAACATAGTGCCCCGCGTTCCTCTGTTTTCTCAGCTTCGCCACTCTTCACCATCCTCCAATCCTTGCCTCTGCATTCCGCATCCAATGCAGCGCTTCGTGGCCCCATAGGAAGCTCCATAGAAGGCCCCTGCGGTTGCGATCACATGCGACCGCGCCCGAAAATACAGCGTCGCGTGGCCCCACAAGGAGTTCCACCGACGGCCCCAGCGTCTGTGATCACATGCGTCCGCTCCCGAAAATACAGCGCTTCGTGGCCCCATAGGGAACTCCACCGAAGGCCCCAGCGGCTGTGATCACATGCGTTTGCCCCCGAAAATATTGCGCACCGTGGCCCCGCAGGGAGCTCCACCGAAGGCCCCACCGGCCGCTCCGTAACCATTGCGGCTCGAGACTCCATGGCTGGAGGGTTGCCAGCCCCCAGGCGAAAACGGGATAGCTCTGTTCCCCTGGCTTGCGGTTCATCTTCGCGTGGTGCCAGGTCCGCCCCGGGTCACCACCTGCCTCCCTCATCCCGAGGGTGCGCAGTCATTTTCCGATTCTGTGTGGTCGTTTAGACCCTCTGGCTCTCATGGCGAAGTGCTGGCAGTACGTGCGGTGCGGAGGTTCTACGCCACGACATCTCTCACCCTGTATCAAGGCAGGGTGTAAGGGCAAGCGGACGGACCGCAACGTACCAGCAGCGAACGACAACCACAAGCCTTGGGGCAAGCGGGCAGCCGGCGGCGGCAATCTCGGAGCTCCCTGGACTAAGCAAGGACCCAAAGGCGGCGGCAAAAAACGCGGTGGCGAAGGGCTCGGACCTGGCGGCGGAGGGCCTGCTGCCCCCACAACCCTCACGCTCCCGCCAGAGAAGACTGCAGCCTGCGCAGCCATGGCCATGGAGTCGTGCGAGGTCGTCAAGGACGGACTTTCACGCAGCAGTCGAGACAAGGTCGAGTTGGCACGTTGAACGGCAGCCGCTGGTGTCTTGGGCTCGGAGGCGCGGAAGCCCCCTCTGGCAGTCGATCAAGCATCGTTGGCCGTCGCCGGCGCCACCGCCAAGCGTGAGCGCCCCTTGGGGAACTCTCGCAAGGCTCTGGAGGCGCTGGCAGACGCGGATCGGGCCCTCGCCGAGCGCACGGCGGAGCTCGAGCAGGCCAAGAAGCAGGCGGCGAAGCTCTACTCTTCCACCACGGTTGAGAACGCGCTCCGCTCCGTCAAGGACAAGGTCGCCTCCATTGACACGGAGGGCAAGTCGGGCGCTGAGGTCCTGGCCAGCCTCGCCGCGCTGCTGGGCGAGATGGCTGCTGCCGCAGCCCCACCACCTCTTGGGCCAGAGCCTGCCCGCGCTGAGCCAGCCGCAGGTGGAGGCCCAGGCGCCCCTGGTGCAGGCGCGGGCGGTGGCGCAGCTGAGGCCGATGCTCCCATGGCAGGCGGCCCAGGCAGCGACGAGTTCGACAAGTTCATGGAGGGCGAGGGTCCCGGGGGGGCTTCTCGGCAGCGCTGCGGACGAGAACGAGAGGAAGAGGCTCCAGGAGGCAATGGACACGCTCGGGGCCGCCAAGCGCTCCAAGACCTCGGGGTAGCGGCCTCGGCGAGGCCAGCGGCGGCAATCGTTCCTCCCAGATGCCCAGGGCGGCGGACAAGCAAGGGCGTTGGTGGGTTGGCCCCGCGGTCCACTGCAATGCTTGGTCGAGGTTCGCCAACCTTCTGGGCGCAGCAACTATCAGGTGCTGCGACTTCGTTGCCGCTCAGGAGACGCACTTGGATTCGCGGCGCATTCAAGACGTTCAAGGACAGCATCGACGGCTCGGATGGGCCCCGGAAGCTGCGCCAGCGATCAACGCTGGTTTGGGCTCCCAGGGTGCTGGGGGCCTCGTGCAGATGGCGCCCCGGCACCTCGAGCTTGGGCCGTGCGACATGCTCGGCAAGCCGGCTGTGCTGGGGCCTGGTCGCGCCATCATCTCCCACCTCAACGGCGTCTGTAGAGACGGCGTCGCGTGGGTCAACGTGCATCTGGAGGCCAACGTCGGGCTCAACCAGAGCAATGCCGACGCCCTCTACGCGGTGCTCAAGGCCCTGCAGGCGGCCAACAGGCCCTTCATCGTGCGCGGGGGCTTCAACATGGAGCCGTCGGTCTTGGAAGAGTCTGGCTGGCTAGAGGCGGCGCAGGCGGTGGTTGCTGCGCCCGCGGGGGCCACGTGCAGGCCCGCAGGCAGGGCCATCGATTTCTGCGCGGTCTCGAGGCTCTTCCGCGGGGCCAAGGCCAGCGTTATCCACGGGCCGGACCTCGGCCCGCACTACCTAGTTGCGCTCGAGCTGCTCGGCCCGAGCACGCGCCAGAAGGTCGCCGCCACGCGCGCGACCGAGCGGCTGCCTCCACCCAGGCCGCTGGCCTGCTGCACGCAGGATCATGGCCCAGCTTGGCGCGCCGTTCGTGACCAGCTCGAGCGCATGACCGACCTAGACAGCGCGTGGCAGACTTTCGTCAAGCAGGCGGAGGTCAACATGATTGACGCACGCGGGCTCATCCACGAGCTCGACAGGTATTCAGGCCGCGCGGAACGGCCCAGGCTTTCAGCCACCTCAGCCACGGCGCCGTCGCTGCCTAGGCTGCCGCGCGCCACTCGAGCTCTGACCCGGCGCAGGTCGGTTGATATCTGTCTCCGAGACGCAGCGCAGATCGAGCGGCCGCTCACCAGGTTCGGAGCCCCGCGCGCTTTGGGCAGGCTGGCTAGCAGGCCGCCGCCCGATCTCACAGAGCTGCAGGGCGTGGCCAGCATCATCGCCAGCGGCGCGCAGGATTTCTCCCTTAATCAGCTTGATGTGCTCAGTGCGGCGTGTTTCAGCTGGTCCGAGGCAATGGTCAAGACGGATCTCGATCAAGCCTCCAAGAACTGCATCGACTCGGTGCTGCGCTCCGTCGCCACGGGCTCAGGCGGCATCCATGTTGTCACGAAGACGGCTCAGCCTTGGAATGCGAAGCCAGCCAACACAGATGGCGCGGTGCCGCTCACCATTCAGCAGAGCCTGCAGGCGCTGGTCGACGAGTGGCCCATTTACTGGGGCACTGTCGCCTCCCAGGCTCTGCCAGTCCAGGCAGCAGGTGGCGGCGCGCAAGAGCAGCGCCAAAAGTTAAGTTGGAGGTGGCAGGGGGGGGGGGGGGGGGCTTTCGCCGACGGAAGAGACTTGCTGGACGCCGACAGTGGAGGTGACAGGAGGGCCTTCCCCGACGCAGCCGCAGTCCCCCGCAGTCGATCGAGGCGGCGCTACTTGTCTTATTGTTTCTTTTTTGTTATGTTTCTTTCTTTTTTTGTTTTGTTTTTTATTTTTTTTTTTTATTGCTTTCTTTTTTTTAGTGTGTTTTTATATTTTTGATTCTTTTTTTTCTTATGTTTGTTTCACGTACTTGATGCAGCTGCGAAAGGCCCTTGGGGGCCCGAGCCCGAGAGGCACCGTCTGCCTTGGCCTGGGGACCTCGGAGAGCGCCCCGATAGGCCTTCTGTGGCTGAGCTGCGGAAAGTGATCTCGTCTTTCAAACCTCAGTCTGGATCCAACTTTGACAGCGCCCGTCCAAGTGAGTTCAATACGATGGATGATCAAGGCATCGATGCGCTCACTGATTTGCTGGCGGCTATCAAGTAGCATGCAGATTGGCCCAGCTTCATCGCCAAGATGGCCTTCATTCCCAAGGCAGATGGAGGCATTCGACCAATCGCCGTTGGCAGCGGTGATCAGAGTCCACGGCAGGCTTCGCAGACCCATCATGCAGCAGTGGGAGAAGGCCAGTGACAGGCCCCACTGGTGGGCGTGCTCAGGGCGCTCACGTGACAGGGCGGCGTGGCAGCAGCTGACGAGATCAGAGTGGATTGCGATGATGGCTGAACTCCACCCCGATCAAGACTGGGCCTCTGCCAGCATCCTGCTGGGCCGTTGGAAGGCACCCGAGCAGGTCTCACATCGGGGCCTCGTGCAGGCAGCCATTAAGTTTGGCTTCCCGCTCTGGCTGGCCAAGCTGCAGATCTCTCCGCGCCGTGCGCCGAGGGTGCTTCACCTCGACGGGGTGCTGCTCGCAGGAGTTCCAGGTCTTCCAGACGGTGCTCGCTGGAGACGCGTTCGCCACGGGCTTCATGAAGCTCATGTTGTCGCAGCCGCTCGACGAGATGGTCGCGCGGTTCGGGGCCGTCACGCCAGCGATCGCGGACGACGACCTGGTGCTCCAGCGCTGGGGCGGCACCAAGCGTGCGCAGGACGATCGCACGGGCGCTGCGCGCTGTCTCGGTGCAGCAGTTGAAGAACGTCAAGCTCAAGATCGCGGACAAGAAGTCTAAGGCCATGGGCAACTCACCCGGCTTGCGCAGCCCAATGTCGAGGCGCCTGCTCAAGATTGCTGGAGTCCATGGGGCTCGTCACGCGCGCAACTGGGGCATCGATCATGCAGGGGGGGCGACGCGCAGCTCGGGCCCTTCGGCGGCAACGCCTCGCCAACGTCGAGCTTCGCCCGGGCAAGGCGCGGAGCTTCTTGGGCCCGAGGCGCGAGAACTGCCGCGGCCAAGGTTGCGTTCACAGGCCTCCGCCCATCGGCGATGCACGGCGTCAGCTGCACTGGCCTTGACTCCAGCGAGTTGTCCAGGATGCGCTCCATCACGGCCAGATCCGCCGGGCCACGGCCAGCAGGCAAGAATGCCGCCGCAGTGCTGCTACTCCCGGGGCCAGGACATTGGACCCCATCTTCACTCCCACGCTGGGGCTTGTCATGATGCTGGCCAAGGCTGCAAGGGAGAAGTGGATACCGACGTCCATTTTGCAGTTCACTTTCGAGTGGAACGCGAGGGTCGCCAAGCACTGGGGCGACGCGCGTGGTCCGCTCGGAGCAGCAGCGATGTCCTTGCAGAGGATCGGGTTCACGCTCAGCTCCTTCACTGATTGGGCCACCGACGCGGGCGAGGAGCTCAACTTGGCGGTGCGTTCTCCCTGGGCGGTCACGCAGATTGCCACGCGAGGCGTCGA